GCCTTGGTGGCTGGCCAGGCTCAAAGGCAGTATCAGGCACTGGCAGCTCTGTGCCACTGCTGTGTCTGTGCCCTCCAACTGTGAGGAAGTGCTCGTGCTGGATTGAAATCCTGCTCTGGCCTCTGTGACCCACTGATGGCTAATGCCAGCTGCAGAGCAGAGTACCTCATTCACTGCATCCTTCCCCAGAGCCATCTCAGCTAATAAATGCTGTCAGTGAGAAAAATGGCCCCAGAGGCCAGATTTCATTGTCAGAATGTGGCCTCTGGCACTGACTGTCTCATTCACTGGTGACTTGTAAGTACAGAGCCGTGCTGTGTTTTCCCTGGCAGTGGCTAACCGGGGCTCCTGCACATAGGAGGGAGTTTGGGCTGTCCTGGGCAGGGGCTTGGGCATCCTCTACCTCCAGGTTCTCTTCCACCCTCAGAACTGGCATGGTGTCCTGTACATGGGATTTTCTAAGCACAAGCCACACGAGGGCCTTCGTACAAGATGTGAAATCTCCTCCAGTAGCAATCCTGCATCCATGCCTGCCATGGTTTTATGATGCTCTTTTTTTTGGCATATATCCCCTCTCCATTCCCTGGGAGATGATGCAGGCACTAGCAGAAGCTGACAGCTCTTCCCTCATGGGGTGCCTTGCTGTGTGCTGTTTGACAGCACTCAGACAGCTGAACAACAAATAAATCCATTTATTTTCAAAAATCAATCCTCACAGGAGCTCTCTGGGAAGACAAAACTTGTATTGCACTAATTATATTCTATAAAGTATCCCTTTATGCTTCACAACAGTTTAAGGAAGGAACTCAGGATATGATAATAAAAGAGAGGAACAAACTGAAGCACTGTTCAGTCTGTCCCCATGTGCTCTAGTGCTGAGTTTGATCTACATTGGTTGTAAGAGGAAAATGTGGAACTACCCTATCTTCTGTAAGGGCAAACAGCATCCAGAGGTCATTTTAAAAGATCACATAACCAGCTATAGCCAACATAAGTAATTATAATGTATTTACATTGCCACAGTATTCTTGAGGTTTTGGTCTTTTTGTTAATAACTTCTGTTATGTAGCACCTTTATCAGAAATCAGCCATTGTCATCAGCTTCTCCAGAGAGCTCCCACACAAAATAAGGGCTGAATGCCACCCTCATTTCGAGTCTGATGCTATTGGTGAGCAGCTGTGTTAGGAACCTTGGTCAGATCTGCCTGCTGGACACAGTACCTGTTTACATTTGAATATTGCCTCCTAGCTTAGTGGAAATCATCTATTCCCATCAAGCCAGAACATCCCTTTTTCTCACCACTTATTTTTAGCATATTGTACTTACCTTCTTGGAGTTCTTAAATCTGAGAAGGAGGTGTAACTAACATTTTTTCTGAAGCAACTGAAAATTTCCCATTTGTAAGCTATCTCTGTGTGCCAGTCAGGTGACTACTGCTAAGCCTGCAGAGAAGTTTCACGCATTACACAATAATTTGTGGTGATCCTAGCAACAACTGTGTTGGGTAAAAGGTGTCCATTATATTCCATGGCCTAATGTTTATCACGCTCAGTGATCAACACTCCTGGCTACTTCATGGAGGTAGTTTATAAAGCTGAACTGCTGAACTACAGAACCTCCTTGTTCCCAATGCTGCTTGTGTTATAAAGGCCACTTGACTGCACAGGCTGCTGTGTACATGCAAAGTGCTCTCAATAAAAAAAAAAATTAAAAAAAAAACAAACCAAAAAAAACAAAACAAAGCCCACAAATAAAGCCCAGAACTATGCCTATTTCTTCTTTAGACAGATACAATCTCTCCTGCTTAAGCTCACATGCAGTGAAAATAGTCACTGAAAGGAGCTCTTCAAATGCCCTGCAAAGGCCGTGTTTAGACACTGTTTGGGTGATGACTGTACTCCATGAAATGAGAAGCTGGGGGCAGAACTGTGCCCTAGGGCACAGGCACTGCTTTGAGGCACAGAGGACTGCCCAGGCTCTGCAGCCAAGGCAGCACAGCTTTGCTATGGGAAGTAAACCCAAATCCACACAGGAACCAATGTTCTCCTAAAGGAAGATCCCTGTCAGACACAAAGGACATCAATGGCATGAATTTTGGTGCTGCAGTTTGTACTCAGAAGCTGATAAAGTCAGAGATGTCAAAGGAGGGATGCAGGTGTCCTGTGATGAAGCCTGGCTGAGTTAGAAGCTTGCCTTGTTTTGAGCAGTCTGGAACAAAGGTGTTTGGCTATCAGGGACCTTTGGATGCTGTGTCTCAAATGTCTCATGTCCTCATGCCTGCAGGGAAAGAATTGAGACTGCCATTTTGTACAGTTGCTTCTAAATCTGCCAGCAGCACCTCAAGGCTTCATCCAGCCAGTCCCCAATCAAGCCCTGGTTCTCAAACAGATATTTATAAATTCAGAATACTGCACTGCAGCAAGTGATGCTGGCATAAATTCCCATCTGTCATCCCCTAATCATCTCCCAGCACAGTGATCAATCTCTTTCAAATTCAAATGATCTTAACCACTTAGTGTCTAGAAAAGACACTGCAAGAAATGGGCAGTGTGCCATCCAGGGCAATTTAGGGGTGCTGACCTATCCAGCAGCTGTGTGTAGCTCCACCTATGTTACATCAGAGACAAATATTTTTATATCTCCATCATCATCATCATAATCTCTGCCATAGTTCTCATCACAGACTGCCATGTTAGTGCAAGAATTAGTGTCAGCAAGGTTAAAATATGGTCACAAATACTCTTCTATCACCTTTCACCCCCAGTGGGTAATTTTTGCCCACAGGAGAGCAGGACACTGAGGAGACACTCAGGAGTTACTGAGAGCCTGGCACAAGGACACAGTTGGTCACAGAGTGGTGTGCCCACCTACCTGCCATTTTACTGAGCTTTAGATACTGTTTGAGGACACACCAAGGACCAACTTAACCCTGGCTAGGAAATGGATGGAGGACTGAGGCATCCATAGCTCATCTACACTTTTGTGCAGCAGGAAAAATACAGACCCTGTGCCAAGACACTGGCATACTGGCAACTTTCTGCTACACCCCAGAATGTGTCTGCTTTCACAAAGTAAATGGTGTTACTATATTTCGTATTATCCAGCAAGGAAAAAGCTCTAATGTGATCCCAGGAAAGTGTTTCCAATACAAGGCACAGTAACCCTTGCAGAAAAAATTGGGTAGATCTCTTTTGTACTTTGTCAGATCAATTTTCTGATCTGCCTCACCAAGCAAGGCTCACTGGCCTCAGATAAATAATTTGCATTTCAGCACACTGCTGTGGCTGGGAACCCTGAGAGAGACAGGGGCAAAGGGTATAAGGGACTACTCATAAACCTGCTCCTGTAGCAAAACAGAATGGGGTTAGAAGCGAGCAGCAGGACCCCTGCCATAGCTAGAAAGTGTGAGGAGCAGGGCTGCTGTACCTGCACACAGCATGGCTTCAGCACCCCTGCAGGAGCTGCCCTGGCACTCAGGCAGAGTTACCAGCAGGGACCTGTGCCTTCAGACATCCCCCTTGCTGCTCGCTGGCTCCAGCTGCTGGGACTGGAATGAGTCAGATCCAGAGGATTTAAAGAGAAGATGCACCCCACGGGTCACATCCAATATCTGTGAAGCTGAGCCAGGCAGCCTGGCTGGCCAAAACCAGCAGTGGCTGCAGAGCCATGATAAACACTCCAGCTCGAGGATTTCCTTGACAGTACATCACTCACTGCATCTCCAGGGCTCATCAGCAGGCACAGCAGAGGCATTTCTGAGCAAGTAAGTGAAAAATGACACAGCAGTTCTGGCTGTATCACCTCTTGTCTCCCACGTCTGCTCTGAGCTGAAATCAATGCAGTTGCATTCACGTTAATGGAGGACAGAATTGGGAAAATTCCCCTGAAGGCAATTTGAGAGAGTAGCATTGGAAAGATTGTTCTTCTTTTTATTTTCTTTTTTTTTTTAATATAGGAAGAGTCAGTTGATTGTCATGTTTGGTTTAGGGTTTTTTTTCTGAGGTACAAAATTAATACATTCAGTTAACACAGAAATAGGTGAGGGCTGTTAGTCAAGATCATTCACTCTGCTTCAGTTCATTTCCCTGGTGGCAGAAATCTGCTCCCAGACAGCAGGCTTTGAAGGCATTCATGAAGGAGGAAGTTTTTTCAGTGCCAAGTAAAACAGTTTTTAAAAAAACAAGCATTTTCAGGTGTAGGACGTGTCCTAGGCTGTCATTACCTTTATGTTACTAACTTCCTTTTTCTCTGGTTTAAAGGAATCTTTACAATTATTGTTGATTTGTTTTGGGAAATCCATCAAAGCTGGCAGAAATATTTGAAGCACTGAATGCACAGAAGAAGTGATTTACAGAACTTGGGAAAGTATCAACTACAAGCATTTGGCAGTCACTTGTACAGTAAAACAGATCTCTGATTTTTAAGCACTTCTTCAGGTATTCTAGCCAAGTGATACCAGCCTCTGATGGGAACAATCTTGTCTGTCTCATTCTAGCCAAACTGATAGTAGGAATAATAGGAATTTTATTTTTTTCCAATTCAAGACTGCACAGTAAGTTCTAGTAAACAAGAGGAAGTAGTTAAAATTTGGCTACACCTTAGTGCTCCAGCAAGTCTCTCAAGTACTACAAGGGCTGTTTATATTCATTACCCTTCTCATTCATCCCTTGTTATATGAAAAAGTGCAAAAACCAAGGTGGGAAATAAGAATAAATGTGTGAGTGAGCTTTTTTCTCCTGGTACCACTCCCTTTGTGTGCTCAGACAGAAGTCCCAGCACCCCCTTGCTCAGGGGGTAGATTCCACAGCTGAGAGCAGGGCCACAAGCTCCTGTCATTGCAACAGCTTCTCTGAGAGACCTGACTGGGATGTTTTCCTTTTGGTTTCTTGAACTTTATTAAGGTGGTCATGTTGCCAAGTGCTTGAACAACTTCAAAGAAGTGCTCAGAAAATCTGATTTTACATCTTAATAGCCTAACTCTGTATTTCTTTCTCCACAGCAAACATCTTGACAGTCATCATCCTCTCCCAGCTTGTAGCTCGCAGGCAGAAGTCCTCCTATAATTACCTTCTAGCTCTGGCTGCTGCTGACATCCTGGTTCTCTTCTTCATCGTCTTTGTTGACTTCCTCATGGAAGACTTCATCTTAAACAAACAGATGCCTCAGGTACTGGACAAAATAATTGAGGTTTTGGAGTTTTCTTCCATCCACACGTCGATTTGGATTACGGTGCCGCTGACCATCGACCGCTACATCGCTGTGTGCCACCCCCTCAAGTACCACACGGTCTCCTACCCTGCTCGCACTCGCAAGGTCATTGTCAGCGTCTACACCACCTGCTTCCTGACCAGCATCCCCTACTACTGGTGGCCCAACATTTGGATTGAAGACTACATCAGCACGTCCATGCACCACGTCCTCATCTGGGTCCACTGCTTCACCGTGTACTTGGTGCCCTGCTCCATCTTCTTCATCCTGAACTCCATCATCGTGTACAAGCTGCGGCGAAAGAGCAATTTCCGCCTGCGAGGGTACTCCACAGGGAAAACAACAGCCATTTTGTTCACTATAACTTCTATTTTTGCCATACTGTGGGCGCCAAGAATAATCATGATACTGTATCACCTCTACGTGTCTCCTATAAACAACAGCTGGGTGGTCCATATTGTGTCGGACATCGCCAATATGCTGGCGCTGCTGAACACTGCTATTAATTTCTTCCTCTACTGTTTTATTAGCAAAAGATTTCGCACAATGGCAGCTGCCACCTTGAAAGCCTTCTTTAAGTGTCAGAAGCAACCTGTGCAATTCTATACAAACCATAACTTTTCCATAACAAGCAGCCCTTGGATTTCCCCAGCCAACTCTCACTGCATCAAAATGCTTGTTTACCAGTATGATAAGAATGGGAAGCCTATAAAAATATCACCATGAAAAGGCCAATAGCAATAGTTGGAGTTTCTGGGTGCAAGTTCCTTTCAAGTGGTTACATCTTCAGGATGTAATTTTCTGAAATGGCTGTTTTGAAGAGAGGTCATTTGATTTCATTTCCCTGGGTGGCCAGGGGCAGATCAGACTGTCGGGAAGAAACAGGAGCACTTGATTTTAGGAGCAAAAGTGAGAAGGCAAACACCTCCATCTCTTATATAGCATTTTGAATATGCTTCAGAGTTCAAGTCTTAGTGTTCAGTCACACTCCAACGTTTTGCATCCCAACACCAGTGCAATCCAAAGTCATCAGAAGGGCAAAGCCACAGCAGTGTTTAATTACAACCTTTTAAAACACAACAAAACCTTACTTGACCATCAGTTTGCTATCGAGAAAGTAAACAGATGCTTTTGTGTACTGTGGAAGGTGCCATTTCTGGAGTGTGCACTTGCCAAAAATTATGTGTCGATTCTGGCATGAAATGCCACCACACACAGTTGTGCTGTCAAGGCCTCCCTGCAGGAGGCAGCCTGTGAGACACAAATGGTGACAAGCCTGGTTTTGGCTCGTTTGAAGAAGGCTCGAGGACCGATACAGTACCTGTTGCAGCCTTGGCAAGGAAAGCAATCCTGCAAGCTGCCAATATTTGCGTGTTTTAAGTTGTTATTTAAGAATGTGACTGAGACAGGGGAGCTCAAGGGAGGGAGGGATGTTTCTAGAGCCAAGAACAAAAGCAGCATCTTTCCCCAGCTATTTCAGTCATGGTGTCTAAGGACTTTCAAGGTGAAACCAAGTCCTGCCTAAAGCAGAGCTCTCACCAAAGCTGCTCCTGTGAGCAGTGATCAAAGCCTTCAAGTTCCTTCTTAATCAATACAGATTCTCAGTTATCCCCCATGTTCAGGCCTCTAGGGATTAACATATAAAAACCTCAATTTAAGATTTTCTCCTGATGGATGATGCCATCCTCTTGCAGATTTGCCACTTAGTTGTTTTTAAAAAACCCAAAAAACTGTGAAAGAAATTAATTAAATACCCAACAGCAGTAAAAACACTGAAGCCTTAGTTTAAGCTGATATAAGTATTCCACTTATTTAGAGGAGGTTAGCTTCTCTTCCTTCACAGTCAAAAACCAGCATCCTATCAATGCTGAGTGTAGAAAATAAGAGACTTACAGGAAGGCTGAAAATGCATTTCTTTTCATTTCTTTCCCTTTCAGATCTTGGCATGTAGTCTCTTGGAGCCACATGCCACAGACTCTGTTCATTGGGCACTTAGTAGAGCCTCACTGGTGTGAGGGCAGTGAAGGTGTGTGGTGAACACAAGCCCAGCATGGTCAGAGCACATGGCAGATCCTCAGGAGCTGCAGGGCAGTGGTGGCGTGGTGCTAACGCTGTTTGTGCCTGTGCCCACCTCCAGTGCCAGCAAGGAGCTCATGGTGCACCAGGAGGGGGCACAGAGAGGTTCTCTGATGAGGGATCCAGTCAGTCCTGCTATGGTGGGACCAGAGGGCTGAGAACATCTCTCTAAAACACATGGATGGCTCAGCTTTGATGCAAATCTCTTAAGAAATGCCAAGTGAAGTCCTGCTGAGGACAAGAGCCTGGTTCCCTTGTGGCACAGAGGTCGTGTTTGCAGGATGCCTGGTACCCACATCCTGCAAGAGCCAACCCCAGCAAACCTGAGCTCACCTTCCCAGAAGGGAATGGCAGCAGAAACCAGGCCCTGGCCATGGGTACCAGGCCCAGGCCATGGGTACCATGGGTACCATGGATACCAGGCCCCGGCCATGGGTACCATGGGTACCATGGATACCAGGCCCTGGCCATGGGTACCAGGCCCAGGCCATGGCTACCATGGGTACCATGGATACCAGGCCCTGGCCATGGGTACCAGGACCCGGCCATGGGTACCAGGCCCAGGCCATGGCTACCATGGGTACCATAGATACCAGGCCCTGGCCATGGGTACCATTGGTACCATGGGTACCAGGCCCCGGCCATGGGTACCATTGGTACCATGGGTACCAGGCCCAGCATGGAGAGGTTCTCCAGAGAGATCCAGGCTTGCTCAGGGCACAGAGGGGATGCCCAGTGGCAGAGCTGCTCAGAAATTCTCTGCGAGGTGCTGAGGCACCCCAGGGACCCCACAGGCCAGAGCAAGGAGAGAGGCACGTCTGGGGAAATGGGGGCTGAGGGCTCAAGCTGACCCTTTCCAGCCTCACCCACCAAAGGGATGGTAGCCATCTAAATGTCCCCAGAGAGAAATGAGGAGCTTCTCAGTCTGTTGGCTGTTCTTCCTTGTGATCTCAAACCTTCACCCTTGCAATAATGAAGTGTAAAAGGGATGCCCAGCCTTGCTGTATTTGTCATGACAGGGTTAAAATTATTGCTCCCTTTATAGTGTTCTACAGAAAATGAGTTTTGTGGTCATCCTCCCTGCCCTTCTATCAGAAACGTCCCCCTGGTCTTTGTCAGTTGATAGTAACCAAAGTTACCTTATGGAAAAGGTACTGTATGTTTCATTTTGGAAAAACACTGTATTTATAACTTATTTTTATTCTACATTTGTTATGAGGAATGCTTGTCTGAGTTAAATGTGAATGAGTCTGAAGTGCAATATCTATATAGATAAGTGGTTCATTTTTGAGAATGTATCTATTAAAAAAATACCTATTTATACAAGAAGTTCACTATTCTACTTAATATAATAGTAACCTTAAAGAAAATAGTGAATGTTTAGGGCTTTTATTTATTAAAAAAAATTCAATTAAGTGCATGGCATATGCTGCCATTCACATGCTGTGACTTATTAATTTTTGTAACATAATGTTTATCCTGCAAACTATCAGTGTCATCTGATTTTTTCTGTCCTGATAATGTATTTTTGTAAATTACCATATTTAAAAACAAAATCTTTCTGCGTATTTTTTTCCCTATGAAAAATAACGCATTCAGTTCTTGTAACTTATTTGAAAAAAGCTCACAATCATTTTCCATATCCTTTTAGAAATGACAAGGTGCAATTTTCATGTACAGTGGATTGATCATTTCACTTCTGGTAATTTAGGGCTTTAAAAGCTTGCTTCCAAAGCCCTTTGAAGCTAAAGGGAAGGTTGCTGGTGGGTTTTGTGGTTGGTTTTTTCCAATCCCCATCATTTTAGGAGAGCTTTGGATCAAGCTGTATCTTGTTAGCAAACATTCAAAGCCTTCTTAAAGTCCAGTTTGGATAATAAAGCCTTGACTTTTTAGTCTGCCATATGGGAGCTGCTGTTGATAATACTTGCCTTATTTTTGGTTGTGTGAAGCATCTTGCAATGACTGTTGCTAACTAGCCATTGTCTTGCTGTATTATTTGTACCTCCTAATTTTCCAATAGAAAAACTTAATCAAGCACATATAGTGTCATTATTTAGGGAAGAAGTATCCTGGAGACAAAACCATCTTTGTTGTGGAGATGGTCTTTTGTACTCTAATTTATATTTCAAATATCTACAATTAGAAAAAATAAGCTGTGAATGGACAGTTTTACAATTACTTATAGGTATGCATTCTTGAAAACCACAGCTAGGAACAAAATACTTTTTAGATGAGTTGCTGGTATATAAAATCATGGGACCTATCACCTATTTAAATTGTGAATATGGATATTTTCATAAGTAGACAATATATTGTGTTTGACAAACTTGTTTGTATTATAATAAATTATGGTGCATAACTTAAAACTGTGTTTGGAGCTATTGTTTGATTTATGGATTCTTATGATATACTTCTGATTTATAGACACTTATGATACACTGCAAATAAGAGATAGAAAGTGGATTCTGAACCTCAGGAGACTGCACGTGGAAGAAGCCCAACATTTTTTCAAATGAACATGACTAACACTGCAGATTTCATACCCCCAGCAAATGTAAAACTATCTGGGATCAAGCTCCTTCTTTCTATGAAGTAAAAGGACATGAAAAGGACACAAGTACTAAAACTAAGCAGAGAATAGAGAAGAACCTGACCAGAAAATTTCAAGGGAACAGAAGAGATCAAGAGACCAGAAAATGTCTTAGAGATGAAACACTGAAGGGTTAAGCACACTGGGAGGACCATGCAGGCAATGCCTGTCAGATTTCCCTGCTGTAAAAGGCTTGGGAACAGGCTTTAAAATACAGCTTCAAAGAGACAAATGAGGGGAAAGGGGCACTGTCAGACTTGATGGAGCTTATCAGAGTTGCTCCTTAAGGAAGGAGCCTGGGGTCTGCCTGTCTTGGTACTTTCATTAACAGCTGTGGCATGAGAAGTACTGATGAAGTGTACATGTTTTAAAAATGGAATTACACTGCTGGCAGAGGGACTGAAGGGCAGGTATTTCATGTAAGAATCAGATGACCTTGCAGATTGCACTGATAAAAATGGGATGAATTCAACAGTAATAAACACAAGGTTCTCTCCTTGTCTGCCTCTAACAATACATTTGCTATAAAACCTCAGCAGTCAGAAACAACCAAGAACCCAGTTGTGCCAGCTGGGCTTGAATGACAATGAGTCACCAATACAAAGCAGCTGAGAAAAATCCCAGAATGTAATCACAGACACTTCTAACAATACAGGATGGTATTAATTGCATTCTATAAGACTTCATGTGATATATGCATATGTATATAAAGGGATAAATAGCAGTGCAGAAAAACCTGATGAAACTCAGCTGGAACAAAAAGAGCAGTTATGAATTTTCCTCAGGTAAATTTGTCATGGAAGTTAGAAGACATTCTAACTACCAAAGCAGGGAGGCTCAGCAAAAGCCTTGCTAGCAGCCCAGATCTCCCCACTGGTTTTAAATGGAGTCTGGTGGGTTCAGGCACAGAATTATGAGATGAGGCAGGTGGCAAAACACATTGGGACCTGGCAGGTCCCTAACTCAGCTCAAAGGACAGCAGAGGTGTCCATTCATCCCATATCATGCTGAGGGGCAGCATGAGAACCATGAGAGCCAGCAGCTACTCAGAGCAATTCCTGCACTAAGCCTGCACTAATTCCCTCAGCAGCTCTCACTGTGGGTGCTGCAGGTGGGACCACACCAACACACCCCTCTGAACTCATACCAACTTCTGCCTCAGCTTGCAGTTCTTCAAACACCTCTTTAAGCCCACCAAGAAGAGCAGAATTTTAAAAAGCAGCCTCATATAGTCCTGAACAATTAAATAATAATCCTACTCTTAGCAGGCTGGGGCTGGATTTGCAGGATCTTCATTTCTGACAGCATGCAATTAATTCCCAGGAGTTGCCAGACACACTAAGGGGGTTGAAAGGCTCCAGTCGTTTGTAATAAATAGGCATCAAAAATGAATTTACTATTAGCTTCCTACAGAGAACCAAATACACATAAATAGTTATTACAATTACAAAATTGTATCAAAAAAATATTGAAGGCTTATGTTTTCCTGCCTTACCAACAGCCTAGAAATGCTGCTCCACCTATTTCTCCCCCTATTTCTGCACCTTTTTCTAGCAGACTAAATTGACAAGATGAATTGTAGGCAAAAGTATGATATTGAATATTACAACCTTACAGATTGATTTGCTGCAACAGAACATTCTGAAGACCTTCAGCTGTGCATGGCTCAGCACTGGCTCGTGCTGTACAGCAGCATCATGAAACAGCCCCTGGTCTGAGGGGTTTGCAGAGATTTGTGGTGTCCAGGCAGAGCCTTGTGCTCCAGTAGGTTAGCCCTGGGAAGGGGTGGTGGGAAAGGCAATAATGTGGAACAGAAAGAGGAACACTGTGATGCTGTCCCTGCCATGGCAATGACAGAGATGCTGGGATGGGTTCTGCTGCTGGAACCTGGCCCCAAATGGGGCAGTGACCCCCAGGGAAGGCACAGCCCTGCAGATAGACAATGACCTTCACACTCCCAAACAAAAAGCAGCAAAGGGCTAGTGTCACAGGAGGGATCAGCCTCTGGTGTTCTAAGACATCATTTCTCCCACCCTTCCTGTGTCACAGCACAGTGAGGCAGCCCATCCACAGAAGTGCCCAGGCCCTTGCTGTCCCTGCAGATCTGCCTTGCAGCTGGGATTCCCCTCATAACATGAAGATTACTGTCATGTAGAAAGTTCCCACCAACAGAGAGAACTTTCATCCCAGCCAGCAGAGAGAAATTCACCTTGGCTGCTGAAAATGCCCAAAGCGCAGCAGAGGGGACACATGCCATGGTCCCAGGTTGTACATCATACAAATGAGGACAATGAGCCCTCCTCCACCAGCCACCCTGCCCACTGGAAAACAGCAAAGAATTTAAACAGTCAAGACTTTTCCCTCCTGGATTTTATAATAATGGTGTTTGCAGCATGGCCTCAGGACAACCAGACTTTCCAACAACAGGATGGAGACATTCAGCCTTGTGAATTAAATACCACCGTGAGCTGGTGACAGGAGTGGCTTCCAGCAGTACCTTCCTGGTCATTTGTCAGAGTCATCTTTGTAAATGTAATTGATTCTGCTGGACTGAGCTCCCACAGGTTTCTGTCCTGCAGGTACAGACCTTCAGCATTGCTACATTTCTAGAATAAAAGTATGAGTAAAAGACCAAATCTGAGATGTCATGTTCAGGAGGAAATCCATCAGCCTATGACTAGTGCACATCTCAGGTATTGGGTTAAAATCACACAGGGCTGCAGCCACACAAAATTGTACATTTTAGCAAACATTGCTTAAAATGG